GCAATATCGAGAGCAATGAGTTGAAATTTTGCAGCCCAGATGAAAAATGGATGAGTAGTTCAGTTCTATCGTCAAATTGCCTCTACAACACCTGCCTTCCGTGGAATAGCGACCATCTTGGATTTCCTTTAAAACGGCCAATCAATAAAGTTAGTTTGATCTAGTTGATGACTTTGAAGACAAATGGTGGCCATTTTGGAATCCAAGATGGCCGACTTGCTAGGTTCCATCACAGTCCGGTATCATTTATTCGGTGCTCAACATATGGGTTGTAATATATTAAATTAAAGAGGTATTGAAGAGTAAATAACAGTTTCCAAATGCCCAATTACCACCTGAGAAAATATAACATGTTAAATAAGGAAATAGGTTTTTAACATAGTTCATTTTGTTCAAAATTTCAAAGTTATTTGAAGAAATAGGTCTGTATGTGCATACCAGGGATGTGATTTCGCCGTATATTCAGGACTTCGGGTATATGCCCAATCGGACATCAAGACATGGATTGATTAGGTAATAAAGTGCTCAACGTATTTATCGTGTTATACCGTCTATACACCTAGCTTTATTAACTACTTAATCTGCCATGATTGACTGACTTAATCCTTTATCGGACAATTCATTAATCTAATCTTAAACAATAAGTCACTGCTTCCCCTTTGTCGGACTATTCATCAATCCAATAAGAGTGATTATAATTTTATTCCACGTGTTTACCAGTGGTTTCTCCATTGTCAAACATTTTAATCGCATTGATGTGAGCTGACAGCATCTATAAACTAGTCATCATAGATGTCACATATCGTAAGATTATATAACACCCTAAATCAATGGACAGTCATTTTGTCTGCGATATCTTTTTTATGTCTTATATATAGAAATTCTCATCCACAGTGGCACTTTCCTGCGATCTCGACTACCGTACGAAAATTGCTTAACATATAAGGCAGCGCTTACTATGAAGCTATGTGCTATGAGTCACGTACGCCATACGCTGAAGTTAGCTATGCATTTTCACGAGTGGTTTAACTATCAATGTAATTATTATTTTAAACGCCTTTCTTTCATTTGCTGCCCTATAAACCAAGACATGTAATTTTTGGAGGAATATTACTGGCTGCGGTTGAAGTAGGTACGGATCGGCAAACTTTCATTCCATCGTATTACGAAAACACGTAATTTTGTAGGAATATTATTTTTTTACTGACATACATTTGAATACCATAACCATACAGGAATTAAATATGAAAAATAGTGAGGTGTTGCTATTTCTATTACGCACGGATTGGAATATTTTGTTGACATTTTATAAAGAAAAAACGATGTTCCAACATCACAAACTATTCTTATTTCGGAAGTTCTGCATTCATTTGCTGCGGTATAAACGGAGACACGTAATTTTGAAGGAATATTAGGGTTGTGAATTTGATGCCGAAGCAGGATCGGCAAGCTTTCATTCAATGTATTACGAAAATGCTTAATTATGTAGGAATATTACTGACATAAATTTGAAAGCCGTACGGGAATTAAATATGAAAATTAGCGAGGTTCACCTATTTTATTACGTATGGGATTTGAATATTTTGTTGACATGTGATTTTTAATTGTGGTATGAATATGAATTTTTATTACGTACGGGATTTGAATATTTTATCGACATGTGATTTTTAATTGTGGTATGAATTCTTCTGCTTAAATAATGATAAGAGTTATGCCCCTTTATTTTTGAAATCCCATCACTGGTACATACCGTACTAGACCAATATGGAAAAGGGATACTGCATTTCTTACGTGTTTACATTTATGTAATAATAATATGCACAATTCAAAGACAGGGCCGTGTTTGATTAAGAATTAATATTAATAATAATATTCCTTGTACAACTTAGCTTTAATTGTTTCGCTGTAGGCCTACAATCAAAAATGTGAGACCCCTATTGGCTTCTGCAAGTTCTGCCTATAGCCGTGAGCGACCTTTAATTAAATTATTTGTGCTTAAAAACAATAACAGAATACTTGTAGAAACGTTGTGCTATATTTGTAGAAACCAGTGATTGTTTTCCATATAAATTGGGTTGTGTTTTTTAATTTTAATAACTTTTTGACTTAAAAACAATTTATCGACTGTTGTTCATAAAATAATTGTAGCTCTATTTTATGTGCATTTAAGAGATAACTATAAACAGATACTACCCACATCTCAAAAAAATCATATTTACACAATTAATAATTTTATTTTTTGTCCAGATCAAAGAGATATCATTTTAAATGAGTTACATTTTAATCAAAATGATAATATTATTTAATATTGATACATGTAACCCACCTGATTATTGAGAAAATGTTTGGTAAATAAGCTTAATTACAGTTTTAAATAGTTTTAATAATTTTATTAATATCTATAATTAACTAGTTTGTCTTTCGGTTTCAGTAAATTAAAATCAAATAACCGTCTTTTGTTTAGGCTGACCTTAAAAATATCTTTGTTTCACCAAACCCGACCCACAATCGAGGAGAAGGGTCGGTAGGTCGGTGTTTTTTCAGATTTTTTTTTTTAAAGTCAGAGAAATCAATACAGAAAACTTATTAGCTGTACAGATTCATTAATTTTGTTTAATGAATTTTTGGTCTGAAGTAAAAAGTAACGAACTTTTAAGAGCTAATTTGACAGCTTGATAATTTTCCGGGTGGAAACATTCGTCTTTTTTTATTGGCAAACAAATCAATGACATCGGGATTTTTCGTGATGCACGACTCGCACACGATTTGCCACGAACTTGAAGTGCGAAACTCCTTCAATACGCTTTTAACGATCGTGCGGATTGTACCTTCATTTTTCTCGAAAATGGATATTGAAAATATCGTTGTCATGTTTAAAACGACGCCCCACAGACATTGAGGCAGAATCATTTCGTGGGAATGGACATGCTTTCGTCTGCAACCATTTTGTTGAGAAGCGACACCAATGACGCTTTCGTCTTGATCAACCAGTTTCAGTAATGAATCGAACAGTAGCCATAGTAAAGGGAAATAACTCTCGTGATATATTTCAGGTTGACACACAAAATAAAATAAAAAGATCGCGGAAAAGTGCAATAAAATAATTTAAGTCGGGGGTGGTTTTAGTTAGTCGGTCGCGTTAGGCGAAACAGAGATATTTTTAAGGTCAGCCTTATATCCCACCTTCCATTCCTACAGCTGAAATGCCATGTGAACTTGTCCAATCAGACGCAACAAAAGCAATCACGTGACGTAAACAAATCTGCGTCATCGGGGAGCGCTATTACGCTACGAATGGAATCGGACCACAAATTTTCACAGCGTGAGAAATCCGATCGAAAATCGAACTTCTGCGGCTTATTCTTCTATAATAATAGTTTTTATTACCGTCGAGACTTATATCATTACATTCTACGATATTTCATAAACGTACTCACTATTTAAAAATTCAAGCTGCAGCATAGGATTTCGGAAAAAATTGTCATTAATCTTTTAAAACGTTCACCTCTCAAAAAGTACACACGCCATTTTGATCGAGGATGATGCAGAACCTTGCGGAAGACCTCCTCATGATTGGATGAAAGTTTCAATGTCGAAGGTGAAGAGGTTCCCCTCGCAATGGGAATCCTAAGCTAGGTACCGCTCCAAAATACGGGCGTGCCGTGAGCGCAAAACAATTTGCTAATGGTAAAACAATGGCACACTGTCAGTGACATAACCTTTTGCGTCGGTACTTTTTAACTTGTGTTTTGAGTACATTACCAATAAAGAACAAAAACGAAACTTATATCATTAGAAAGGCAATTTAATGGGCTTTTTGGTCATATAGGTTAAATTATGTTGACTCCAAATGTGAGTGTCATAGCGGTTATTTTTTCTTGGCTCTCTGTTCGCAAGGAGTCTAGGACACAAGTCAATACACGGTGGATATGGTAACGCTAAACATAAGTTGAAAGTTTTCATTCAACAGGAAACTGAAAGAAGAATCATAAACATCTCCAAGCAGACAGGGAAAACAATTTCATGTTCTCCAAAATTGTACATTAATAAAGTGAAAATAAGTTACTCACCTTTGTAGAAATGATTTGAAACTATCAAATGATTTAATTTTGGAGGAAATAATTCATATCTAAATTTCCAGTGTTTCATTGAAATATATCATCATAATTTTGTCGCCAATTCTGTATTTGCATGAGCTTAGAAGTACAACATTATGTGCTTGTGAGTATATGGATGTAGTACAATGGTTCAGTATTTCTGTCCTATATTTGTGTAATGTTTATTCTGGCAGATGAGACTGCATTATCTATTTTAAATGTACTGAGTTATGTGTTAGTACTGTGATGTAAATGTCCAAACGATACACTTGTGACCAGAGAACTAAGAGAAATGGGTCTTTCATTTCTTTAGGATCAAGGGACTTTTCTTTGAAAACATAAATCTCTTAAAATCGATTTGAACTCAACTCAAAATAATTATTGTAACAGTTTAGCAGTGGCCATCAAACTACAGAATATGGTAACCAATGCAGACCTGTCAACCAGGACTTCTGAAAATTGATAAAGTTGATAAGTAGGAACAGGCAAAGAGAAAGGATGGATGAAAAAGAAGGGGGGGGGGTGCTTAATCTTTTGTGGCTTAACCAATGTTGTTAATTTTTCAGTTAAGATTGATCATCATCAAAATCAGAAAAGATAAAACATACAGGAGTTACTTATCTTTGCTTGTTTCATAGTTTAAAGTCTTGACATTTAATATTGAAAAATATACATGGAATACGAAACTGATTGGAGTTTAAATTCTATATAATCCTATATTTATTTTAAGAGATTTACATTTTCAAAAATCAGATCCAAAATTCATCTCAGAAGCTGCATTGACTGCAGAATGAATAGTTAAATAATACCCGAGTACACTGCTTTCCGAAAGTCAACTTGCTTACACACTAGGAATGCATCAAAAAATATCAATGAAAAAAGGACAGATAACTCTATACATACAGCAGGTGGAAGCTCTCGGTCATATCCCTGTTCCTGTTCCTCTTCTTCTTCTTCTTCTTCTTGAAATTCAGCTTGATGAGATCTACCAGTAGCAGCTGCGGATCTCATGTTAGTAGGGTGTGTCTTTTCCACAATCGGTGGTGGGGGTGGGGGGCTAGGATCTCTAGTTTTACTTGAATCAGCTTCTAATGGTGGAGGGGGTGGGGGCAAATCTTCTTCAATTGGTGAATTTAGCTGTTAAAAAAATGCGCATAAATAATTATTCGGTATTTAGTGAAAATTTTTAAGAAAAAAAAGAAGGTGAATATATTTTGTGAATTTTAAATCATAAGGGTTTCTTGGGGGGGGGGGGGTTTCAAAAAAAAAGAGGAAATTCATAAATACTATTGAAGGGAGATAACTATGTTTGGAATACTGTACATGTCCACCCAGTTTAAAACAAACAGAAAACAACCAAAACGGAACTTTTTTCCACAGAAAGTCAATTTTTTTTTAGTCCAGAAATGATTTATAATCAAAGTATGTAACCTACATGCACTATCTGTTTGTATGAACACAAATATGTCTATGATGATGGGTGACACATTATTTGAATTCAGTTACTTTTTCTAATAAACCCCAGTATGCCATCAATGTTAATTCAATTCTAAATACATATTATATAATACCAATGAGCATTCAAAAATGTTTGATATAATTTCAATAAAAACTAGGTCATTAAATGCAATGTATTAATACATAAGTGAAAGAATAAACACTGTTTAACCCTTGTATTATACACTGTATTTGGTCGAGCTGATTCATGAGGTCTAAGATTTTGCACTAGGAGACCCTGCAAGAGACGACGTCACTTGCTGTCCAACATATTCTCAATTGGTGTAAGATCAGGAAAGAGAGTAGGCCATTCAAGCAGCCATGTGCTGCCCGTGGCGTGTGCTGTATTCACTGAAACATGAGTACAGACCTTGATGCAGTCGATTCAGAACAACAGCCTGTTTGATATGCAGACCAGCAGAGCATAGTCAGTGATAAACAGCGTCAGTAGGAACAGTAGAATAGTAATACTGTAAAAATCCCAGATAATGTGCCAGTCTTGTCGAGGCGTTGTCACATGTGGCAGTTCAGACCTTGGCAAATTTCTAGTGGACTATTTTTGCATAAAACGATCAAATATTCCATTCATAAAAGACGTGTGATTTCATAGCCTATCACTCTATATATAGCACTTTTCTCTAATATTTTCAGGGAACATGTATATTGTACATGTACCAAAAGCAAAAGCACCATGTTTTAAAAACGTATCCATTATACTCACATCCATTTTCGGTAAATTATTTGTGATTGGTAGTTCATGTTCCCATTTACTCGCCACACGTAATGTTTCTAATGTCTTTTCTTGATTTGTCTTGGAATCATCTAATAATGTACATTCATAAAATTCTTGTATATCTGTAAATTAAATATATAAATAATGACATAATTTATTCCTGTAATATTATGTACAGCTACCAACTGTAATGATATACAATCTGTCTCTTGTCAGTACTTGTATGTGTGTATGTGAAAAAAATGGTTTCAATTTTATAGTACAACATAATCATAATATAGAAACAAGCCAACATTGAGGCTGATGTCCCCTGCCGAAATCCGAAAATAAATAGATGACACATATTAATTAATCGCACATTTATTTTTTTCAAAAGTATCAAGCAATCAAACTGATTATCAACTATACACTAAGTTTCATCAATCTCTATCAGATAGAATCAAAGTTATCTTGTCCCAAAGCATCAACCAATGAAATTGCTTAGCCCTGCTTAGCTTTAGCTCGAAATGTTAATCATTGAACATCTACATCAAGTTTAAACATTCTACCTCAATTAAAATTGCGTTGTTACGTTCCAAAGTCTTGACCAATCAAATTGCTTATCGCTCCTTAGCTTAAGCAGAAAATTCTCATCATCGAACTTAGTCAAGGTAATGATATAATTATGAATCTATATTCGCAGTTTCATCACTCTCACTTTATTATAACCAAAGCTACCGTGCCCCAAAGCATTAACCAATCAGATTACTTAGCTCTGCTTATAGTAAGCAGACAATGCTTATCATCAAACGCCATCAAGGCATTCACCTAATGAATGCCTACACCAAATTTGAACATTCTACCTCAATTAGAAAGAGGGTTATTGTGTTCCAAAGTCTCGACCAATCAAATTGCTTATCGCTCTGCTTACCCAGTACAGAAAATGCTCATTATCGAACTTAGTCAAGGTATTGATCTGATAAAACTATACACCAAGTGTCCTCACTCTCACAATTAGAACTGAAGTTAGCCTGTCAAAAAGGATCAACCAATCAAATTGCTTATCTCTGCTTACCCAAAGCAGAAAATTTTCATCTTCGAACTCCATCAAGGCATTGACTTAATAAACACCTACGCCAAGTGTGAACATTCTAGCTTTAGAATGAGAGTTATTGTGTTCCAAAGTCTCGACCAATCAAATTGCTTATCGCTCTGCTTACACTACACTAAGCAGAAAATGCTCATTATCGAACTTAGTCAAGGTATTGATGTAGTAAAACTATACACCAAATTTCATCACTCTCACTTAATTAGAACTAAAGTTATCATGTCCCAAAGAATCAACCAATTAAATTGTTTATCTCTGCTTACCCTAAGCAGAAAATGCTCATCTTCGAACTCAATCAAGGCAATGGCCTAATAAACACCTCGAACCAAGTTTGAGCGTTTCAGCTCAATAAAAGAAAGAGAGTTATTGTGTTCCAGAGTCTTGGCCAATCAAATTGCTTATTGCTCTGTTTAACCTGAGCAGAAAATGCTCATTATCAAACTTAGTCAAGGTATTGATGTAATGAAACTATACGCCAAGTTTCATCACACTCACTTAATTAGAACTAAAGTTATCGTGTCCCAAAGCATCAACCAATCAAATTGCTTATCTCTGCTTACCCTAAGCAGAAAATGCTCATCTTCGAACTCCATCAAGGTACTGAACTAATAAATACCTACACCAAGTGTGAGCATTCTAGCTCAATTAGAAGGAGAGTTATTGTGTCCCAAAATGTGACGGACAGACAGACGAACCCATTTTAATACAGTAAACCTCGCATAAGTCGGATTCATATAAGTCGGATCTTTGCTCAACTCGGATCCAAATGTTCGGTCCATTTGATCTAATTTGGGCTTTTTTCCTTCGACATAAGTCAGATCGGCAGTATGTTTAGTAGAATTTGACTAAGTCAGTTTCGTACCGATGGCCTAAAATGCAGTTAGGTATTCCATGCACAGAGCCCCAAAATACTTTCCCCTATCATTTTGCCTCAAATCCGCCTATTTGACACGGTGCAATAATAGAATTATCACTGTCAACAACGGACAATAACAGACAAGATAATTTCATGGGCATTATAATACATGGACTGAATGCATGCTGCACCAGATGGGGAAGTTGGCTGTGCCTTTTTACGAGTGATAAACTGTCAATGCAATTTTAATAAAACAATGCTCCAACAATATAATCGAAAGATTCCCTCGGAAATTCCTCAGTATAAATTAATTTTAAATCCAGTTAAATTTTTTTATTGAATTCACAATCAGAATGTGCCGTTAACGAATAAACTAGTTCCTAACATTACCAGTCAGGAGGATCTTCTATTCGCCCCCACTCGGAATATGTTGCTGACTTTTTAAATGACACATGTTTTTTTCTACTTGTACATGTACCCTATTCTGCAGCTTCTGTTATTGCTTTTTGGTCAATATGATTATCGCTATATATGTTATAATATTATGTAAGGGAATTGTTGTACTAGTGAATTGTAATCTATTGCCGGTATTGGATTTTTAATTAGCAGTTAAAGCTGTAGGGGTAAGTCAGAACTCAGCTCAATAATATACAATCAACCATTCAGTGTTCACGCATCATTTAATAATTTACTTATCAACAAACAATCACAAGAAAAAAACCTCGGAACGCAGTACAGACATTGACATTATAGAATTTATCCGGCATCCGATTAATGGGCACTACTTTGAGTCAGTTATTATCCGGCTCTTGCAGTTTATTTCTAATCGAGCCAAGATTGAATTTCGGTCTTCGGCTAACTCTGATCTTCGCTTAAATCGGATAAAATTGGTCAGTCCACTTAGATCTGACTTATGCGAAGTTTACTGTAGTCCACTGCTTTCTTCGAAAGTAGGGGGACAATAAATGAGATCTTGTTACTGAATTCAGCTATAATACAACATTATACATGCTCCACTTTCTGTGCATGATGGATCGATCCTCTGCAAAAATATCCACTTTAATCAAGAGATTCTCATTGCAGATTGTACACATATCCAAATCTTAACTTCTTTATTTACTTTATGTTTCATGTTAACATAATTCATTTTGGGAATTCAATAGTATTGATTATAAGGATATGAGGTAAAGAGTCAAAAAAATTTGAACCTGTTAACCCATGGGAAAAACTGGACCGTGACCTGTCAACCGATTCACTTTTTAGTTGCAAGAGTTATTAATTGTTGGTGCCGTACAAAACAGGATTAAAGTCTTTACATTTCACACTGTTTAAAGGCTCAATACCACTCTTGTTGTAACTGAATAATATGTCCCAATCTTTATTCTGGTCAACAAATTGTACTATTTTAGAATATTTCAATTAATTGATGATACAAATTTCATCTTAACACACCTTATTTAAAAATTTTGAAAAATTCAACATAATGGTTTGAAACGTCTAAGGTAAACCTTTTCAAATGAAACTTCGATTTAAAAATATTTTCGAACCCTCTGGACAAGTAAAATAGGATGTAATGGATAATTTACACAACAGGTACATGTAGGACACTTAAACATCTAGTACATAGATAGAGATATTTTTTTTTTTCTGGAGCTTTCAAGCCAGCAAGAGTGTTATTGTCCCTTTAACTTAATTTTAAATATAAACTATTAGACACTAAGTCCTAAGAGTTTATTCATTGCAGCTTATTTTGTTTTTCATTCAAATTTCTCTGAAGGAAACATTCAGTCGTCTAACAGTCAAAAGGGTCATGATGTACTGGTAATACAATGGTATGTTACCACGTGGTCATCACTTGCCCAGGTATCATGTGCCGTTGTGTGACAGATCGGAAAAATGATTAGATGTTATTAGTATTCGACCCATTATAAATATAGGAATATTCTAAGGCCCCCACCTACCTCCATTTTAATGTGCAATGTTATAATGTAATCCAATAATAAATTTAGTTCAGTGTCTTTATTCGCGCACAGCATTACGTTCAATTTCATATGCAGTAAATAATAAAACTGTACTCAAGATTTATGGAAGACCAAATGGGACAATATTCATGATTCTTGTTTCTACATTCCAGTTTGAATATTTTAGACATGAACGCAACATTCTAAACTAATGATTCTTGTTTCCACATTCTTATGTAAACATTTCATGCACAAAATCAACATTTTAAACAACAAATTGACTTTATGTTTATTTTTTTTTGCGTTTTATCGGTAACTTTTATATATCATTAAATATTAAAATTAAAAAATAATTAAAAAATGTAGAAAACAAGAATTATTAGTTTAGAATGTTGTGTTCGTGTCTAAAATGTTCAAACTGGAATGTAGAAAAATAAATCATGAATATTGTCCCATTTAGTTTTCCATAAAGATTACCCAGCCCGACGATACAACGCAATAAGTTGCTCTTTTCTGGAGAGTCTTAGAGCCGTAAGATCTTTCAACAAGAAAATAAAATATACTAATTTCACAAAACATCATATTCAACATAACATTAGTCAAAACATTATTATAAGTATAGGCTTATATACATGTAGTCCATGGCCTAAACATGAACAACTGGTGGGGAATCTTATAAAATGATTAATGGCGGGCCTGTGAGAAATATTGTCAGTACTCTAATTTATTAACTGTATAGAGAATAAAACACCAAATTTTAATCGAAACTATGTTTATAATGACAAAGATGTAGCATGGTAGACTAGCTTGTCATGAATCTTTGAATATAAAAAAAATAAATAAATCACCCACGCACTTTCCACAAAAATCTTAGTTGAAAAAAAACAAAGTGAACTACAGTAAACAAGATAAATTTATTTAAGTTGTAACACGAAAACAACATTTTATCAAATGTTTTATAAAACGATTAGTTATGGCCACCAGATTAAACTCAAAGCGTGTTTCTATTCAAATACTACAAATACTATAAATTCTTATGTTTACCACACGTGACCCCATCGAGAAAATGAAACGAAGAAAAGATTATACCATTTGTTCACGTGCGAGGGACGAAAGATACTTTGTTCACGGCATAAATTTTCTACATGTTTTCAAGCAGTGAATACGGTCGTTTTATAACCGGAGAAGTTTTGTATCAACGTATAATGTGAATAAGAG